GTCAAAGACCATGGCGACTGGTTGCAATGAGTAGTACAGAGTATACTGTCTGGCTCGAGAGCAGGTGAGATTCCAATAACAAAGTTGATTGACGAGGTTGAACACGATGCCATAAGGGCAGCGTGTCTACTTGCTTATATACTTGACAGGAGGATTGATTGTACTGCTCATATCGAGTATCGTCAGTGACTTGATACTTGGTCCAATCGAGCGTTGTCGACGTGACCTCGATACTCGGTCCTCGGTGTCCTGTTGTCAACGTGGGTCCTCTGCAAGTGGGTTGGTATATGGGTCCGTGACGATTGTTTGTGTACAAGATCCACGTTGTATCCACTGCAGTCCTTTTGGTACAATCTTGGTTTGTATAACACATATTGCGAGTCAGCGCCATGTTGATTAGAGGCCATAGGGGAGGTCCAGCGTGATGTAAGTACATTGCAATGACACCAAAGGAAGCAAGTAACCCAGGATTCAGAGACATCAACTTTGGCTATACCAAGCACAAAATTTTTGATCATCTCTCTTGTAGGTGGAAGGTGTCTTTCTGTAAGCCCAATGACGTACTGTACAAGCTCATGCTCTTGTGGTGGCATCAGTTTGGCTTGGTTGGAGTTCTTGGTGTTGCAATCCATCTGAACACCTTGTGCATGATGTGACAATGTTGTGCAATTAACACCATGGTTTTTGGCAACTCTTGTATATATAACTCGTTCTCCAGGCTCCAAATTATCAATCTGCTTGATTGCATCATTAATTCCAGGCATGGTTGTAGTGTTGTGGCGCATCAAAAGTATAGTGATGTTGTGAGGAATTGGGCGGAACGCAAACACGGGCGGCACGCGCACAGACACGGTACCTGCCGACACACTAAAAACAAGCACCTTCGTATGCCTCCATTACTGCACCTTGGTTCCAATTGTCTCACTACGAGCTTCCCTTCTCAGCAATTTATTTCAACTTAAATAAGCTCTAAAGTTACCTCTACACTTATATTTTGTGTTAAGCTGGTTAGCGATAACCCTTGCGGGGTTAGTAGTGTTGCGCGAGTAGCGAATACCCGCTGTTGTATGTTGTTGCCTTTTGCCTGAGCAAAGTCAAGCAAGTACTAGAAATTTCGCATTTTCTTTTGGCATTCGCAGTGTTTGCTGCAGTGCATTTTGCGGTTGCTAGAGCTGCAAGAAGGTCAGCTCTGTCATTTCTACGTTACACAACGACAGCCTTGCGCATACCGAAGGTTCCCGACACCAACCACGCAACTGCGTCGAGAACAGCGCAAGCGACAACATCAAATCTCACCTTCCGCATCAGAGGCTACACCAACAACTCTTACCCACCACGTGCGACGCGCCTGCCAACATGATACCATACAAAACAATCTCGTCTTTGCTGTTGGGCCAACATCAACTTCCTCGCCACAACTCGCATCCACAACTTTGTCTCACTTAACATTGAGCATCTTCGTTAGCGGCACATAACATAACAACATCAATTCATCAAACATACTCTAAGACATAGTTGCGACGATGTCTTCACCCTACTGCGACAACGATGTTACTCTTCCGCACGCCGGACTTCTCTCATACTTCCGCCAGCCTCATGAGACCCACGACTGTGATAAGAGCGCACAATCGGCACGGAGTACATCTCCGTCTTTGAACGACATCAAGTACAGAGTGTTTGACGAGGAGGCACAGTGCGACTTCTGGGACCTGGACAGCACCACAGATACCGACTGCGAAATCCTATCACAGCCAGCACGTCACCGCTACAATGGCATCTTCCACACCTTGTACGACTTCTGGAGCTTCGTTTGTGTTGTCACCCTGGCAGCATGCGCGGTATTGCTGGGACTCGACCTTGCGCTCGGGCAGTTTGGGATGGGACTGGCCTTGACGGACTGCATCATGGGAAGACATCTGCCGCCGCCTCCAATGGCTCACGAGGTAATTAGTCTCTGCACTCCGATCCACCGCCAGATTATGATGCTGACTTGTGCACTCAGTTGCACTTCTGTCTCGCGTCATCAAACCGCGAAGCACCTGGCCCACAGACTTGGCGCCTCATGTCGATGAGACCACACGACGACTGCACGACCGAGGTGATCACGCTACTTGTCAGTCCTTCTGAGGGGTGGAAGCTGCACTCGGATGACGAGATCGTTTTCTGCGACGAGCGTCGGGGCTCGATACAGGTTAGCAAGTTTCTCGGCAATGGCAATGTGCTCCCTCGTGGTAACTTGGGCGATAATGTCGCTGGAGAAGGAGTACTGAGTCAGTCTGGTAAAGAGACATTCGAAGGGGGTTTGGTAATTGTTTGAGGCAACCTGTCTGGTACATGAGCTTTGGTGGTTTCTCAAAAGCATATGAAGTTACTGGGAACTCGATATGAAAGCATGTGAATGCTTGACCTTGGATACAGCATGCTTAACACCCTGTAATGTCCAGTGACCTGAGAGCTTTCGCTCCACTGCTTTCCACGGCAGTCGATCACAAGCACCTCGACTTGCCTTTCACGACTCGTGGACATTTGGCGCAAGAGCGCAGCAACTTTCCCCACTTCTGCCACGCAGACGCTGACCGGCTTGCCGTTGAATAGAAGGCAGAGTTCAAAGGAGATACTGACTAGTCTAGTCAGTTCCAGTAATCCTTCAACCTATAGATGTCAATGATCGACTCGGCCTCCATCGTCTCACTGTAACGACCACTGGTCTGCGCAGCCGGCTAACACGACTTCCTGAAGTCTGGTGCGTTGGTCCCAATTTGCAGCATCGCCAGCTGCGGACAACTCTTTGCGAAATAGACGTACGCGGTCTTCCACCCCTTTGCAGTCTTGCGGCGCCAAACGAAGGAAAGTTCAGTCGTCGGATCGCATCCTGACCCTGTGCATCCACTGTCACGGGACTGATGCGGACCCTACAGCCCTTTGCAGCTACTGTAAGCGAATGACGCAAGCCACTTGTCAACCGTCTTTCCTGTACATATGTAAGGAGGTGCCTTGCATTATGCTTATATATAAGATGCAGAGCCCAATATCAGCAGTTCTGCTGATATTGATGTACTTTTTGGCCATTTGGCGCAATGGGGCTCTGCATTGTTACAACATAATCCTTGGTAGCCTGCTGCAGGTTGCACCTTGTGCAATGTCTTGTAATCCTACCTGAATACCGTAAAAATGAGTTCCTTTGGCCGAACGCTAGCAGGTGGCAGCACAGAGCGGGTAAATTTAGATTGTGCCTAATGCAATCTCAGGTGGCACGCCTTACAAAGTTGCATTACCCGTGATCTCAAGCTACCACGCAGTCCTGTGTACTCAGCTTAAAGCTGGCAATACTGCTATATTGTGATTATATGAAGTTTTGGTGTTGGTACAGGTGGCATATGCAAGCTAACTCCTTGCCTAATTAGGTAGTTGACAATAGCTACAATAGTGAAAAAATCTTCAATTTTCCAAGCTGCCTACACAAGCAACTGCCTACTAACACCTCAATGCCCTAATAACCCATCAAACTCGCCTGCCTCATATTGCTCAGCAGCTATAAGTGACTTGTAACAATGCAGAGCCCCATTGTGCCAAATGGCCAAAAAGTACATCTGTCACGGTATCCTCTCCAGATCCCCTGACAATATCCGGATCCGCTCCGTACTGTCCCTGACCATACGCACCAAATCCCCAGCGTCCTTACACGCCTCCGAAGCGGACGTACAACCTCCGGTCACCTCCGGAGCGGGCCTGCAACCTCCAAAGCAGGAGTATTAGAATTCTG